TTCATTTTGATATGCATATTGCAACTTTTTACACAAATTTTCTAATTATGAATTCGCATAAATCATATTACTTTTAAATATATATTATTCTAAATACAATGTTATCTCTTTAACTTTGAAAAAAAGAAAGAAAAAGAAAAAGAGAAAAGAAAATAAGAAAAAATCATTCTTGTAATACTTTCTGAAGTAAACGTGTAAATTTTTAAACTAGAACTTACACGCGATTAATATTAATTTTATTTGTGATCTTTTCTAGGTAACCTAGAAATAAAGTTAAATTATATATACTTTGTGCGTGTTAAGGCGCTTCCTCCTTTTGTAGGATCCATCATACGATCCCAATTAGTGTGACCGACTACAAATCCTACAGCGCGCATTTTTTCTTGTTCTTTACGTTCTTCTAAATCTGCCCATCTCACCTATCATATACAACAATTTATAATATAAATATAAATTTGTGATTTGCAAACAAATAAAATATACTTACTCGTTTTTTACCAGAAGTATCTTCCATATTGTAATAGTCAGGAACTTGAAGAAAATCTTTCATAGTTTGTACTTTTCCTTCATTTTTTTTTTTCGCAAGTCCATCCAACCGATCTAATATTTTTTAATATTAAAATGAAATGAATTGTTTATATATAAAATGTAATAATATTTTATAAAACATAGAATAACTGACCTAATTTATCTTCAGCTTCCATACGTTCCCATTTGCTAACTCCCTAAAAATGAATAATAATATGTATGTATGTATATGTGTAGATCATGAGAAAAAGAAAGGAATTTTTATTTAAAAAAGAAAGAGATACATATATATCAATATAGAAAATTACAATAGCATCTTGCATATCATCTTGACTATCTTGGCTATCTTCATTTTGCTGAGATGATTTTTCCTGCGTTTCTTCACTATCTTCCATATGAACCTAAAATCAAGTAATATATAAATCAATATTTCATTTAAAATAAATATATGCAATTTAGCTTGAAAAAATACTTCTTCAATTGCTTGTTCCTGCAACATTGAATTAACATCTAATTTTTGATGATAACTTGGAGTTGGTTCAAAATAATCTATAATTCTATTTATTTCATCTTCTGTGCGATTATGAATATTTCTTTTTAAACAAATTTGTAAATCCATTTCCATCTCGCATACGTATACCTACAAATATTCAAAAACATTACTCGCTATTTTCATCTATTTCAATGTTATTAGATTTCAATAAAAAATTACCTTGAAACCTTTTGTTTTAGCAAAACTCCACATCTCTTCATAGTCGGATATCTTTTCGTTTATACAATCCAGTATAATAAAATTAAAGAAACCATCGGTAACATTTTTTTTTAAAAGCTTTAACAAGAGATGTAATGTAACTTTGTTCCATTACTTCCTCGTATTCGTATATCATATCCTATAATAAAGTTTATAAAATCGGAAAAAAGTCTTAATTTATTTATATTTATAAGATTTTAAATTTAATTAAAAATAATAATTTATACATGTCATACTTTAATTGTAACTTTTTTTCCATTATCATCCGTGGATTCTATTTCTTTCTCTACCAAAAAATAATCATCAAGACTTAATATTCTTGGCGCAGAACCTCCTTGTTCAACTTCCTTGTCCTATAAAAAGATATAATATTTGAAATTATAAAATTATTTATAAAATCAAATATATTATATTATATTTAATAAACACATTTCGATTTTACCTTAATAAGTTTTGCTACAAAAGATTTTCCACTGCCTGGCGGACCTCTTAAAATTATAGCTATTTTTGGTGGTCTGTTCTGACGACCTGGAGGACATAATAAGTCATCCACCATTGTGCAATTTGGTGTTTTTGCCAATTCCAAAGTCTTTTGTGCAGGTTCCAATACATTATGCTGAGTATCTGTAACACTATAATAAATGATATCAACTTATTAAAGATAATTTATAATTTCTATATATAAAAGATAATCTTTTCGCAAATTAATTCAAAAGTATTAATCGCCAATCATTATATCATTGTGATAATACTATGTCTATATATACATACGATTTATTAGAAAGAAATCATTGCCATTCTTATTAAGGGATATTACAACAGATAAAAATGTATATAAATGTGAATATCTATAAAATATAAAAATCAAATCGAAAATAAGAAAAGAATTGGCCATTTTTATTTCACAGATACAGACATAGCTGTTTCCGAATCTTTGCCATCTCATGGTTTTATCGCCGTGAAATGCTTTTAATTAGCTATCTTTGAATTAATTAGCAAGAAGATCAGAATTATATACAATAAACAGAATATAATATTCTCATAACTGTAACAAAAAAAAGAATAACAATGGAGATGAACAATTAATAAATCAGATAAAGATTGATATATTTAAATTTTGACGCGCTATGTTTAATAAATTTTTTACTACAAGGTATTAAAACAGGAAAGAATTTCATAAAACGATAGATAAACGAAATATTTTTGAATACTATATTAAATAACCACCTGAAAATATCAAATATTTTTGCATATTATAATATAAATTTTTTTTTTTTTTTTTTTTTTTTTTACCTTAAACTAATTAAATCGCAAAAACATATTATGTTTGCACATAATAGAAACACAATAGAACAAAATTTGTATTTGTGTTATGCTGCAATGTAATTCGTATGTTTAATTTAAAATATATTGACAAAACATGTGTTATAAAAAAAAAAAACAAGATATACAATTTTCAGAAATTTGAAATTTCATCTGCATTATGCAAGTAAATCAATTTTTAAATATATAATATTGGTCATTATAGTATCCATAATATAAATACATACATATTACAATTAAAAAAAACCTATGGTTTTTGAAGTATTTTCATATGCCAATATTGACATAATGGATAAAAATGTATATAATATCCTATTTTAAAGTGCATTTGGGGGAAGGGAGGAGAAAGAGAGAGAGAGAGAGAGAGAGAGAGAGAGAGAGAGAGAGAGAGAGAGAGAGAGAGAGAGA